CAGGCGCTGTAGGCCATCTGCACCGGTGTTGATAGTGGCAGTTCCATCTTTGAGTAGTTGATAATAAACAGTCCCCGAAGATGGAATAGTGTTGACATCGTTGAATCCCCAAACTCGGAGAATTCGGAGCCCAGATTCATCCATGTGGTCGAACACAAGATCCACATCGTCATTGTTAGTGAGGAAGCCAATCCAGTAGGAATTGGAACCGGCAAAGTAGCTTGTCTTTCCATCAATTTCAAATTCTAGTCCATTTATAGTGGGAAATCCCGCCCCACTAGTACTAGTGACGGTTGCCTTTGTTGTAGCCGTCGTTTTAGTTGTACTTATCGTTGCCGATAGAGTAGTGGTACCACTGCCAGAATCTGGAGTTTTCCGTGTCAATCGACTGAACAACATTGGAACATATCTGAGCACACTTACATTCGAGGCACTGGCTAAACCAGTCATTCTGATATTGGCAAGTCCAGCCAGAGACACATGTTGTGGAGCCAGAATAGCCGGTTCCGCCACATTGAGCGTAGGGAGCAGCTTCGGCAGAGACCAGACTGGTCAATGATAAGATTGCTAGTGTTTTCATAATGATCCTAGGGTTCGCAGTGCACTTGTTGTCTGGCTTTGAATGAGTGAATGCATATATATATCTTGGGGATCGAGGTCCAAGACGGGGATCAACTTCCGCCTTGGATTAGGGAATCAAAATTATTCCATCGACTGAAGGAATATATCAGGCCACGGATTGCTCCCATCGAGCTTATGGCGCAAGCCTCCCGTGTCGTCCTCGGAATAAGTGAGGCGGTAGTCCGCTTGCGATATACCAATGATTCAGCCTTCGAGAGACCGACGTCTATGAGCCAACCCACTTGCATATGCGGGGTATCTAGAACTGGATAGACCAAATGCAACTGCGGGGAAAGTCCGGCACCAATTCAAACGCGGAGAAATTGCCACGCTTGTCTCAATTGGTCAAGGCGTTTGAGCCGCTGTACCTGGGAGATAAGGAAAAGCCATGCCGGAATTTGGGTTGTGGATGCATTGGCATGTGTTATGGGTTTGAGCTTTAGGCGCTATTTACGCCATTGCTGTTGCCAAAGTGATATTGGGTACCTCGGAGTAATGTTATGAATACATACGGAACACGGAGTACTCCGTAAACAGATCCTCAAATTAATGCAAATTACATAAAATTATGAGGCTAATGTAAATTACGTACGAGATTATCAATTCAATGAAAATTACAGTCAAATAAAAAAAAGAATCGAAAATTCTTCAATGACGTAGGACGTAGGGTAACGGGTGTGGCGCCTCCGATGCCCGCCACTGACGACCTCGGAAGTCGGCATCGGGAAGGCGCACAGTTGACGCCGGGGTCTTATGTAGTATACAACTGGGGCACACATATTTATTAAAGTCCTAGAGTTGATAGAGGTCACTGCATGGTGTCATGTAGCATATATTATGGATTAGGACACATTAGAAGAATTAATAGTGACACAAATAAAAGTGGAAGAAAGCATTCGAATTGAAAATGGTTAACTAACTTAAAGGTAGGCTTGATATTATGTAAGACCCCGTAAACCCGCCCACGGACCCCCGCATCGGGATATATCAACATGAGGATGCCGATGTTTATTTTGCCGATGTTTGGGATTGATAGTGGGATTAGGCTTTATTTATAAGCTTTTAAACGGAGGAGATGGGCATTTGTAAAGGAATAATGTTATTCTAGTGAAGTAGTAGTAATATCTCAGGTTGGTGCTCCTTAGCATATCCCCAGACTCCGCATTTCCCCTAACCCCCATGTCTGGAGATAATTCTCTTATTTTCACCGGCATACCGATTAGGAAATGAATTTCTCTTCGATCCGGAGAGAACCCGAGGGCCTGGGGTTAGCCGGGTTTTCTATTTGACCCACTGTCCATGGATGATTTCTCCAGATTCAAAATTTATCGCCGTATCCAGCAACTGATGTACAGTCTCTTTCTCGGCCCCGACTAAAGTATCTGATCCCGAATTAGTTCGGCACGGCCTTGGCCTATAAGCTTGAATCCGCCACTTGCCGGCCTATGCCGACCACATCGGCTATCCCACTTGGAATCACTGGAACCTGCCCTGTATGGCTTTCTCCCCTGGTGGGGTGGCTGTGCGAGCCGTCTGCTGCTGCATTGTTGACTGCCATCCTACCTTACACTACGAAGTACTACCTAGCCATGAGCATCGTCATCTCGCGCAACTTGCCTCTCCACAATTCTCTCCCCACTTCGACTCCGGGTTTAAATTTCTTCTCTACCCTTTGATTGATGGATTACAAAAAGGCCCCCGATTCCCCCATCTTCCCCGAGTTTTCTTCTTCCCCATGGGTTTGTTTTCCTCTACTCTTCTTCATATTTCTTCTGAGCTGGTCTCCTAGTCCATTGTATCTCTTAGATACAACTCGAAATATCACACGTCAGGACAGTCAGATACATACTTCCTCTTTCCTAACCTAAACTATGGGTGCCGAATCGTTCCCCCACCATGGGGAGTCCATCACACAGGCTCAACAGCCAAGCCTCGAGTCGTCCTCTCAAAATAGTCCTATGGAGAAACACATGCGACCCGTGGGTATCGATACCCCAATCCCTCGGATAACCATGCGGTCCTTGGTGATGGCCCTCTTTGTCTCGATGGGTGGTCTGCTGTTTGGATATGACACAGGTCAGATTTCTGGCTTCCAAGAAATGAGCAACTACTTGGAGCGGTATGGTGAGCTCGGCGCCGATGGTTCCTATAAATTCAGCACCGTGCGCTCCGGTCTCATTGTCGCCTTGTTGTCCATCGGTACCATGATCGGTGCCCTGGTCGGAGCCCCCGTCGCCGATAAATTGGGCCGGAAGTGGTCCATCACTCTCTGGTGTATGATCCTCAACGTCGGTTTGATCGTTCAAATTACCTCTCCCGATGGCCATTGGTACCAGATGGTTGTTGGCCGCTGGGTCACTGGTCTCGGTGTTGGTGGCTGCTCGCTGCTCGTGCCCATGTACCAGGGTGAAAGTGCACCTCGTCACATCCGTGGTGCCATGATCAGTTGCTACCAGCTGTTTGTTACTCTCGGCATTTTCTTGGCCTACTGCATCAACCTGGGTACTCACACTCTGGATGGCACTGCTCAGTGGCGTATCACTCTCGGTATCACCTTCGTCTTCGCTCTGATCCTCGGAGGCGGTATGATCTTCTTCCCGGAAAGCCCACGTTATGAATTTCGCCACGGAAAGGCCGAGAGTGCCCAAAGCACCCTGGCCAAGCTCTACGGCATCCCAGAGAACCATGTCCGCATCTTGGAAGAGATGAACGAGATTCGTGAGCAGTTTGAAGCGGAGTCTGAGGGCCAGAAGTGGGATGAATTCCTCACTGCCCCCCGCATGTTCTATCGTATTGTCCTTGGCATGGTTCTGCAGTCACTGCAGCAGCTCAGCGGTGCTAACTACTTTTTCTACTACGTAAGTTCCTATAAAAGCCTTTTTTTCTATTTCGGGATCTTGGAGCGAGGAATTGCTGACAGCGATCTCTTTGATAGGGTACCACTATCTTCGAAGGCGCTGGTCTCTCGGACAGCTTCGTGACCCAGTGTATCCTTGGTGCTGTGAACTTTGGAACTACGTTTGGCGGCCTATATGTCGTGGAAAACTTCGGTCGTCGCAAGTCCCTGATCTACGGAGCCATCTGGATGTTTATCATGTTTATGATCTTCTCATCCATCGGCCATTTCGTTCTGGATGTGGAAACACCTACCAATACCCCCAACGCTGGCAAGGGTATGATTGTCGTCGCTTGCTTGTTCATTGCGGCATATGCTATGACCTGGGGTCCCATGGTTTGGGCGATTGTCGCAGAGCTCTTCCCCTCAAAGTACCGTGCCAAGGGTATGGCCATAGCTACTGCAACGAACTGGCTGTGGAACTTCCTCATCAGCTTTTTCACAACTTTCATCACCAAGGACATCGACTTTGCCTATGGATACGTCTTCGCTGGTTGCCTTTTCGTAGCTATCGGCGTCGTCTATTTCTTCGTTATTGAAGGAAAGGGCCGTACACTTGAGGAGCTTGACTGGATGTATGTCAACAAGGTTGTCCCCTGGAAGAGCAGCAGCTACGAGATTCCCGAACGCCACCAGGACTGGATTGCGGATGAGAACCCGTACGGTCGGAAGTCAGAGGGAACCATACACGCAGAGAACGCATGAGTGTAAATTTTTTTTTGGAAAAGAAAAGCAGAAAGGCAATATTTTGACTTTTTCTTTTGGGTTCCGGATTCGCATTTGGCATGATGACCTTGGACGATATCATGTTAGGTCTGGAGTACTGAGTTGCATTATTGTGCATACTTTATTTTCTTTGTATATATCGAGGATCAAACATATGCCTTTTGCGTTATAGAATATGAGACATTGTCGTTTACCTGCACAAACCTAATTACTCCCAAACCATGAGTAGGTTAGAAGCCAACATATAGAGTAGATGGTTCAAGTCGATTTATCCCTGCATAACTACTAGTCAATTGTAAATTTATAAACATCGCATCAGATCATATATGTGAAGAATGTCACCCGATAAGACCGCTACCCCTGGCTACTATAGAACGTACAACACTCCGTTGACAGACTTTGCTTTGATACGCCTGTTTAGGATCCAGAATATCGAGATTTGCAGGGATACAAGAATCAGTCCCAAAGCTAGTAGCCCAATCATGATTGACACTCCTCTCGGATAACTAGAAGGTTAATAGATTTAGCATTAGTGGTATGAATGGGGTATGATCCGCAAGTATAGCACTTACAATATAGCTGACTCGTCCGCCCGAAATATCTGGGTTCCTGCCATGAGCCCCGCCGTAGCTGACATGACGACTTCATTGAGTTAGTAAAGAAAAAGCCTGTCTGTTATAGAGGTAGTAGTCTTACACATTCTTTATGTAAATGTTAGCTGATTTGTCTGAAGAACAACCGGTAGGACAGCTTTGACTCACGCAACACTTATATTCCTCTCTTCAGAGCTCTTGCAGTTGATTTGAATCCAAGAATTGTGAATTGGATGATAGCCCACAGCCAGGGCATTGACTGTTGTCCAGAGGCCGAACTTGCCCCATTTATCCACATGGTGAACTGCGATTCTTAGAATTACCAACGCGATCAAGTACACGAAGATAGCAACCATGACAGTAAGGCCCCTCTTGTTCGATTTGTCGCTCACCCACGCGAAAAACAAAATCACGGGGAGAGTGAGCAAACTTCCGATTGCACACAATGCATTTGCCCTCACTCGGGGAAACCCCAGTTCCATGAAAATGCTTGGGGTATATGTTGTGAGAGGGCTCCAGGTAGCGAAGACACAGCCTGTGGCAATAAAATGCGGCCATTTCTGGAAGTTTGTCAATGTCTTCCAAACCAAGCTGAATGAAATATGCGTTTTGCCAGGCTGGGTCAATGGTTTCTCCGTTAGGCGAAGTCCTCCAGACTCCGAAATGTTCACTTCATCGGCCGACACAGGGACTTCCTTGTGTTCAGGAAGAAAGAAAAAGAGAACGAATGATACCGCAACGGAGAATAGACCCTCGACTACATATTTGTTAGCATATTTCGACGTTTAAGGGACCAGCCTCAATCGTACCGAGGAAGATCCATTGCCAGCCAAAGAGACCACCTTTTCCGTCCAGTTTCAAAAAAGCAGCTCCGAGAAGTGGAGAAATAGCTGTTCCACCAAACATGCCAAAGAAGAATATGGCGATGCGTTTTGTCAACTCTTCCTTGGTATACCAGGTGGAAAGTGTATACATTGCACCGGGGATATACCCAGCTTCGGCAAGACCCAAAAATGTTCTAGTGAGTAGGAAGCCCAACTTATTGCGCACAAACATTTGCAGACATGCTATTATGCCGAAGATGCAGACTTGTCCACTGATCCATTGTCGAGGCCCAATCTAATTCAACTTAATCAGACGGGTATCATCCGGAAATTGATGCGACATACCTTGTGTAGAATAATATTTGATGGAATCTCAAGTATAATAACACCCAGGAACATCAGTTGATTTCCGAAATTAATAATGTTTTGGTTGACGGATATGAAGGATGCAAAATTCCCTGTGAGTGCGCTGGCAATGTTGGTTCTGTCAAGCTGATAGCTAGCAAACCCCAATACTAGGAGGGGTAAGACTAGAAAGTCCGCTCTATTGACTCGTTAACTAAATGATCCAGCGAGGAAATTCAAGATCCAACCGGGGTGAGGGGACATACGTTCTTCGATTGTGGTAAGAATACCTGTTGTCGCAACCCTCATTAGCATCCATATCCATAGCATGACGGGACTTGCACTCTGGAGATTTAGACATATCAAAATTCAAGCCACACTTGATGTTGTTAATTTAAGATACGAAAGGAAATGTCAAAAAATAGAAAGGTATCTTTTAGTCTTCGGGGGACCTTGTGGGCCATTCTTAAAGTTGAAGACCTTGGGGGCGAAGATCTTTATTCGCGAATTGACCAGAAGCAGATGAATTGAAACTAGCTGTAGCCTTGAGAAAAGTAGCATACCGTATCATTGATGGAAGCAACCTACTTTGGGTGTTACCATTCGAGACTTCAGCGCACGTCAGGATACATACAAAAATTGCATTCCTAGATAGGTTGATGGCAGGCATGGTGGTGATCGGCATGAAAAATGAAGCTTTTGCCATAGGGGACATGCATTATCTCCAGATAATTTGCATGTTGAATTTTCTTTCGCCCATTTTGGGTGCCGTACTAGGCAGTAGAAATGAATTCAAAGTAGGTAGAATACGCAAGCAACACCTATGAGGTAGAGGAAGAGTAATTCTGCAAGGTTATTCTTTGTTCTGCTTTCTCTCTCTGGATGAGATATTTTCTCCCGTGGAAACTGCAGGAAGCTCTCGGAGCTGACCTCGAATGAGCGAAGGTCCGATCACAGGAAGCAGAGGCTCTATATCGATAGTGGAAAGTAGTCGAGCAAGCCCTTCCCATATCATCTGAACAAACACTCGCGCTGATGCATTAGTCTCTGAACGCATCCGTGATCTTCATTTAAAATTTGGCGGGCATATTTTCGATAATATAAATTTTGAATTACTTGGATAGGTTTATCCTCAAGAGTGAGCATAATAAGCACTTGTGTCTCGCGGCGAGATGAAGATGGCGACGATGAGAGAGGAGCCCTAGAAGAAGTAGGGTATATCCTTGGACAATCGGGTTCACTCCACCACAACTTGAGAATCGAGGCACGTAAGCACTGGCTGGAGTTTCGTTCTGTACCGCATGGAAAACTTCCTCGGTTGAAGTAGATGGCTTCCCTGAATTGAAGAGTGCTCCCGTTGGTATTTGTGTGCGTGGAAGTCAGACGTTTGAAGTTGGACGGATGACATTAGATTCATGTGAAAGATGACAATTCTCAGATGAATCACGGAGATGTCATACAAACAGGGCAAACGGTGCATACAGTGCAAACAATTTCTGGACGAGCACCTTGGCAGTACCAACTTTTCTGATTGGCTAGTTTTCATCAAAGTGGGGCTTCCCCACCCCCGCTACGAACCTTGCGGGAAGGGATATCTATGACTCAGCTTCGGTGACTTAACTACGGGCCTGGCCTCAAGGGTACTCTCACCCCTCTGATATTCTCCGCTCCCTGGAAGCTACTGTACACATTGGCCAAGGTGATGGATATCGGAGAATTCAAGATGCTTTTTTTGGGTCCGATTACTCTCCGGCCTCTCCAAATCCCCTGGTGAACGTTACGATAATGGCCCCAAGAGGCTGTACCCACAGCACCCTGAATTGGTGGTGTATATTAAGATATGGATGAAATATTTATATAACTTAGCACACTCCCTATACTAAAAGGTTAAAGGTTTCTTGACTTGTCACAAATTGTCGAAACGTGATATCAACCAAAAAACTCAAAGCATCATGACAGACTCCAGCCAAGCCCAGCCCGTTGATAAGAATGTTGAAGAAGTCGGAAGCAGATATTTCCTTCCACGGAACTTGGAGGAAGCTGAGCGGATGCAAAACCAGCACGAGTGGCTGAAAGGAGGTGCCAATGGATTGATCCTGGCACCAATTGACTTGAACCGTTCGGGTTTACGAGTTCTCGACGCCGCCACAGCAGATGGTATCGGACCAGTTTCTGCATGTTGAATTGATGATGCTAATATTCTCTAGGCTATTGGATGCAGGATGTCAAGTCTATTTTCCCCAAAGATGCAGAGTTTGTTGGCTTTGACAACGCGTAAGTTACAAGTCCAACCTTGTGTCATGATATCTTGCATAAGCTCACAATCGGTACCTCGAAGTCCCGAAGGATATCCGCCTCTCAAGGACAGCTCTCAATTTCAGATTGTGAAGCAAAACCTGGTCGAAGAGTTTCCTGCCGAGTGGAAAGACAGTTTCGACCTCGTCCACCAACGATTCGTTATCCCATTGTTTAAAACCGAAGAAGTTCCACTCGTACTTCGCAACCTGATAGGCTGCGTGAAGCCGGGAGGTTGGATTCAACTCGTTGAAATGGACTTCCAGACTCCGGTTTCCAAGCCCATCGAGTCATGCCCGGCTGTCCAGGCGGTCCATAAATTGACCAGTACGGTGGTTTCAGACCCACTCGCTTCAACAAAGCTGGCGGGCCGATTGAATGACGAAGGACTCGTGAACGTGGGATACAAGGCAATTGAAATGGTTGCTGGCTCCTCAAATCCCGATCCCGAACTCGGAGCGCGAGGAAAACGCAACATGTTGTCGGTTCTCGGATTCTTCCAATCGGTGGCCAAGTAAGTTCTCACTGGGGAAGCTTTAAAGAAAACAATATCTAACGAGATCTAGGCCTGAGATGATTGGAATGACCGAAGAAGAATGGAAGACTTTGCCCGAGCGGTTTGCCAAGGAGATGGACGAACATCACGTCGCCCTTAATGTGTATTTCGTTTGGGGCCAAAAGCCTGAAGCTAAATAATTACAGCACAACGTGAGACAGGCAACCTTGAAAGGCTTGCTTTAGCATTTAAACCACATATCTGATACATGAGAATGATAAATCCTGTCAATAATATTTCAAGGTTCTTCAACCACACAACTCCACGTAAGAAAATTATGAACTAGACACTACTGGCAAGCAGGTGCGTTCAAATGAATATCGCTAAGGGCGGGACGGAAATCTCGACACGGTTATACTATAGACGTGAGCAGCATATACCACCAGCGAACAGCAAAGAAAATCCAAATCCCAAATAGAGACGCCATGCTTGATTGGATGTCAGTGTCGTCCAAGGTACCTACTTCGGATAGATGACGGGGACCTTGGTGACGTGCAATGCGCGCTAGATATTCCTCGCACATGCGATAGGCCCGATGAACCTGACAAGTGGGAGCTATCGAGGGCTATCCTACGTAACTTAATGTCCGCCGGGCACTATGTCGGCTTTTAACCTCCGAATCCTGCCACTTGGACCATACTTGATAGCTGTGCCGGTAGCACGAAGTTAGCTCTCTCTGGCATTCTCGACACAAAAATCGTACACCAAACGAAAAAATTCCTCTGATCACCAAGTCAAGCTCAATATCCGAAATGGCAACTTCAGCAGACGCGCTCATCATTGGTAGCGGCCCAGCAGGCCTTACCGCGGCTCTCACTCTGGCTCGTCAACAACAGAATTCAATCGTTTTCGATGCTGGAACCTATCGAAATGACCCCGCAGACTATATGCATTTAATTCCTGGATTTGATCATGTTAAACCCTCGGAATATCGAGAGAAAGCCAGGAACAATATTCTCTCGAACTATGACCATGTCCAGTTCAAGAATACAGCCGTTTCTAGCGTCCAAAAGGACGAATCAGGAGGCTTCTCTCTGACCGATGAGACTGGAAACACGTGGAATGGAAAAAAGCTCATTCTGTGCACCGGTGTCGAGGACGTCTTCCCCGATATCCCGGGCTATGCTGAGTGCTGGGGCAAGGGAATGTGAGATGCAACCAACATACCCATAGATATAGTGAGCCGTTTTAAACTGATCATCCTACTAGATTCCACTGTCTTTTCTGTAAAGGCTACGAAGAGCGAGGATGCACTTCCGCTGGTGTGCTTGCCATTGGCGGACTTTCCAAGCCCCCCTCGGCCCTGCACGTCGCCCGACAGGTATCAACACTTAGTCAAAGGGTGACAATCTACACAAACGGCTCTGAGGATCTCGCTAAAGAAGTGAGCGGAGGATTTGGGACCTCAACTGTCATGAAGGTCGATTCTCGCAAAATCAAGAGCCTGTCCAAACAAGCCGAGAAGGCGAGTGTACTTCTCGAGTTTGAGGATGGAAGTAGCGTGACGGAGGGATTCCTGGCGCACACTCCCGATACAAAGCCCCGTGGTTCTTTCGCAGAGCAACTTGGCCTGGAGCTGACACCTAGCGGTGATATCAAAATAGCTCCTCCCTTCTACCAAACCACCGTCAAGGGTGTATTTGCGGCAGGTGACAACTGTGGACTGATGAAAAATGTTCCCCATGCCATCTTTTCGGGCTCCCTGGCTGGAATGGGAGTCTCCACAGCGATTGCGGCGGAGGCTCAGGGACAGAAACCGCTGTTTGGTTAAACACCAATTAGTAGCCTACTCAGAATAGTGAATGACAAGTTGGACTTTCGATGTGCTTCTGCCAGACAATACATAATTTGAGGAACTGAAAAGAGACTGTATGCCGGACATTTTGAACGGTGTTATAAACCGGAGTCTTGTCAAAAAAACGAAAGGCTCACGCGCGGTAGTTGGAGAACCTTGGCCGGCTAATTGGGGCAAATATCCGCCGAAGCTTAGTCGCCGTTGGCAAAGTAATATTTTGGCAAAGTCCAGAATACAGAGAATTTAACTAAGACCCCAGCCTTTCTCAACGCAAGTCTCCTGGAAATCGACCCGCCTATCAAATATGACACCACACGCTACACCCGAGTCACCAGCCGTTTCGGGGGAAGATCACCGGCTTCGGTCGATATGTGCTCTGATCAAGGCAAATGCTGATGATCAGCCGAACTCGATTGCTGTCTCTCAAGGAAACCGAAGCTTGACCTACGAACAGCTCGACAAAGCCTCATTATTCCTAGCCGCGCTCTTTGATTCGCATGGAATCCGGACAGGAGATTCAATCCCAATATTTCTCTCGAGATCTTTGGAGAGTGTGGCATCGATTTTGGCGTTGATGCGACTGGGTGCCTGCCTGGTGCCGATGGATGCCAGCTCTTGGAGCCAACAGAGAGTCGATGCAGTTCTGCAAACCGTCGAGCCAAAAGTTGTGGTCAAGTCTGAAAAAACAGGACTCAATTCTGCGTGTTACTCGGTGATTGAAGCAGAGACCATTCGCTTGACTTACAATGCCTCATTTACCGAGACCGAAATTCCAACAATCACCAGAGATCTCGACACTCCCGGTGATTCTGAACATCCAGCCTACATTATCTTCACTTCGGGGACAACCGGGAGCCCGAAAGGTGTTGTTATTCCACGTCGATGTGTTGAGAACTATGTTCTGCAAGGATGGGACAGAGGCATGCCTTTCAACTTGGGAGTTGGTCGAGACGACAAAATTCTGCTTTTGTTCTCTTTCGCTTTTGATGGTAAGTGGAACCGAGAAATCCAGGGAATATCTGTCACGACATGCTAATCCAAGCTCTATTGTGCAGCTGCTTGGGGTGTATTTTTCAGTTGCCTCTGCCATGGAGGTCATTTACTCCTGTCTGAACCAGAAAGGGTTTTGGAGGATGCGAAACATTGCACAATCCTTCCGGCAACGCCTTCGCTCCTTATTACATTGGGTGATCCTCAAGCTTATTCCCGGGCCAAGAATATCTTTCTCGGCGGCGAATCTCCAAGTTCAGCCTTGATCGAGAGATGGTGGAGTCCGAAACGGCGAATTTTCAACTGCTACGGGCCAACCGAAACCACTATTTGTACCAGTATGGCTGAGTTGCGACCTGGAAATCCGATTGTTCTAGGAACACCGATGAAAAACACAAAAATGCTCATCCTTGACGAACATCTCGAAGAATCTGACGAAGGAGAGATCTGTATTAGTGGACCCGGCTTGGCATCTGGGTACTACAAAAACGAAGCATTGACTGCAGAGAGATTTGTTACCTGGAAAGGCTGTCGATTGTACCGGACCCTTGATCGGGCTCACAGAGGACCAGAGGGTATCATATTCTGTGGACGTGAGGATAGCATGGTGAAAAACCGAGGTTATCTCATTAACATCGACATGGAAGTTCTGCCCATCTTGACTTCCTACCCCGAGGTACAGTCGGCAGCCGCCCTGATGTACAAAGGTAGATTGGTGGCAGCTGTCACGCCTGAAAACATTGACGGCACGGAGATGCGACTGCAACTCTCTCGGTCACATGATGAGTTCGTTGTTCCTGATCAGATCATCGCCCTCCGAGAGCTAGATCGCACCTCCAACGGCAAAGTCGATTTGAAAAAGTTGCGAGACACTTTTGAGAGCATTTCTACCGAATTTTCCTCTGACACCACGAGCGGCACTCGCTTGGAAATCCTTCAAGAAGCGGTTGCCGAAGCATTGGGGCATTCTACTGGCTCAGTGGGTACTTCTTGCAGCTTCTGGGAACTTGGTGGAAACTCTCTCCTTGCTATCAAACTATTGTCGATTCTCAGAAAAAAAGGTTACACAGTGGACTTTCAGGAGTTATTCACACCGATTTCTCTGGTTCTCCTGTCTGAGCTCCTGGAACAAGCTGATGCGCCGGAAGAGGAACCATTGGCGCCCTTATGGGACACCGTCTATAGCGATTCCTCCGTTACGTCCCCGATTACGACAACACAAATGGGAATGATTCGATCTTCCATTAAATTTTCAGCGGCGAGCTATATGCTGGTCACCATCGCCCTTCCTTGGAATTCCCCCACGGAATACAGTGACACATTCTGCAATGCCTGGAAAGCAGTTCTAGAGCAGCATGCCATATTCAGAACGACTTTTGATCTCACTGAGGGGAAACAGAAAGTTGGTTCTACGTACCATCATGACTGGGAAACACATTTTGTGGCTGATGAAGATGCACCATTGGCCCTCCTGAATCACTCCGACGAGCTGATGAAAAGCACGGGACATGTCGATTACTGTAATGTCTTCCGTCCTCTTAACACTTTTCGCCTTCTTGTGAACGAGAGCAAGAGCAATGCACATTTGCTATGGCTTGTTCATCATAGTTTGATTGATGGTTGGTCTATGAGTAACATCATCGAACAAGTTCAAACGCTTCTGGAGGGTGGAACCTTGAAGAACACACCTGCTCAATTCTGGCAGTTCTCGCGAAGCTTATCACAAAGGTCTCAGCTTCCACAGGATAAGGAAGTGGCTTTTTGGAAGGAAGCATTTTCCAAGGTCGCCGATGCTGTGCCATTGAGCCTTCCTAAGCCGAATGAGGGAATGGAAGAGCAACGTTTTGGTATTACTACTGTCAACGTTGAGCTTGAATTAGACCAAGTTGAGCAGATATGTCGAATTCAGAATGTTACATCGGCTGCAATGATACATGCTGCTTGGGCTCTTCTACTACGGTCGTATACAGCACAAGAGCAGATCACGTTTGGAACTGTGTTCTCAGGCCGCGACTTCCCTCTCCAGGGGATCGACTCCCTTGTGGGCCCGACGTTGAATACTTGCCCCTTCCCAATGAGTCTCGTGGATCACAAAACCAAACAAGACTTCCTTTCGAGCGTGCAGAGCCTGCTGCTTGACATTGGTTCTCACCAGTGGTCTGCACAAGAAGCATTGCAGACCATTATGCCCGGAAGTCACACCAGGGTGTACCAGACCGCCCTTTTCCTAGAATACAACTTGCCAGGCTTTGAAGACTCCACTTGGAAATTCTCCCGTACCGACGTTCCAGAATTTGGATTGACCGTCCTCATCCGTCGAGAAGGAGGCCGTCTCACGTTCCATGGTTTATACAACCAGACAATGTATACTAGACCGGTAATCCAGCGCATGATCACACATTTCCGAAACATTTTCGTCGCATTGCTTGATCCGCTTTGTCAGACAATATCCCAGGTGTGCGGAAGAATGTTGGAGCCAACCGAGCTTCTTTCCCTGACTACCAATTCATCCACTTTTATGAGCCCGTATGTGGGACCATCTAATCTCAAGGACAGTTTTGAGATTGGTGTCGATCAGTGGCCAGATGCAGTGGCAATTGAATCCACATCTCGCAGTATCACATATCGGGAGCTCGATCAATTGGGAAATTATGTTGCCAAAACAATTGCAGCCAGCGTTTGTCCTGGCGATGCTGTTGGGATAATCAGCGACCGTGGCATTGAATGGCTCATTTCCGTCATTGCTGTGATCAAATCCGGGGCTATTTATGTCCCACTTGATACAAAATTACCCATTGAGCGAATGCGCATCATGGTAAAGTCGGCTAGGGTGAAGCTGTGCATCTTTCCCAACGAAGACTGTCAGGCTAAATTTCAAGATATTTTCCAACACAATATCCTGTTGCATCACCTCCTGGGGGATACGGTCCCGACTATGTGTCCCCGACTTGAGACAGTAACAATGGGAGAAGATTTTGCATACATCACATTCACATCCGGATCCACAGGCGTTCCCAAGGGTGTCCAAATCCCACATCAAGCAGTGGTCTCATATTTGTCTTATGGACCTGCTCGCATGGATGCTCGCCCAGGTCGACGACACTCACAAATGTTTTCACCCGGATTCGATGTCAACCAGGCGGAGATTTTTGGAACACTCTGCTATGGAGCTACTCTCGTCTTGGCCGATCCAGTGGATCCATTTTCCCATCTTTCACGGGTTGACGCGACCATGATCACACCGTCTTTCCTCTCGGTTTTGGAACCTTCTGACTATCCGAATATTGACACCATTCTTTTTGCCGGAGAAGCGGTACCCCAAGTTCTTGCAGACCGTTGGGCAGGAACTAAAGCTGTCTACAACTCGTATGGGCCATGCGAGTGCACGATTGGGTGCTTGTTCAAGCTTCTCAGTCCACATGAAGAGGTCACATTAGGGCGAACGATTCCTCGCGTTGGAGTCTACCTACTTGATTCGCGAAATCAGCCAGTCCCTATCGGTGTGCCTGGTGAGATCTGTCTAAGTGGGATCCAAGTTGCTAATGGTTACATCGGAGCTGAAATGCAATCGGTTTCGCAAACTCGCTTCATTCCGGATCCATTTGTGCCTGGACACCGCATGTATCGCACTGGGGACTGTGCCGTGTGGACAGAGGATATGGAGCCGAAATTTTTGGGGCGATATGATAATCAGGTCAAGATAAGAGGCTACCGGGTCGAACTGAGCGAAGTTGAAAACGCCATTCGCACAGTCTGTGCAGAGGTTCGCCGGGCGGTGGCCCTTGTTAGTGGCGATAACATTGTTGCATTTGTTGAGCCAGATAATATCAATATCCCTGGTCTTCACGAGGCCCTCCGAACGAAGCTTCCCAGATATGCTTGCCCTTCGACCATCGTGGCATTTTCTGCTCTACCAACGATGCCAAACCAAAAACTTGACCGCAAGGCATTGCAGTCCCATTTGAATCTGGCAAAGCGACAAAGCCCAGATCCACTGACGCCAACTCAGTCTCTGGTAGCCCAGGTTTGGCGTGAGGCAATCGGCCTTCCTGAAACTGTCGAAATTGGCGAAGAGTCGGAGTTTTTGGCACTGGGAGGCAATTCCCTTTCCCAGATAAAAGCTGCTCAAATTGCCAATAGAATACTGAACACAAAGCTGCCGATGGGGCTCTTTATCTTCAACACCGTGCTGTCGGCGTTGTGCAAAGAGATAACTGATCATCTATCTGATGAAGACCGGCTGTCTACCCAGCGGTCTTTCTCTTCATCCTGGCAAACGGCTAAACCACCATATACAGCTACCTCCAACATCGAGGAAGAGGCTTTCCACTTGTCGGCCTCGTCGCCCACACCTCAAGCTTTCAATGTGGCCTCTCATCTGCGACTGAAAGGAGACCTTCACCTGGAATTCTTCCAGAAAGCCATCGAGAAAGTTATTTCCAGTGAGCCAGTTCTCAAAAGCTGTTTCAGAGATGTCGATGGTCAAGTCGTACGTGGCCAATCTCATGATTCCTACGAGATGATCGTGGACAAGATCCCCAATCCCCCAATCAGCAGCTTCGCCAATCGAAAATTCGATCTTTCATCTGGTCCATTGACCAGAATCATGATTAACCAAAACATTTCTTGGGTCGATCTTGTTATTGTGCAACATCACGCGGTTACCGACAAGGCATCCATAAATTTGCTTCTGAAAAAGGTACAGGAAGAGTATCGCCGGTCCCTGGAAAGTGATCCTCAAACAGATGTCACCTCTCCTGCACATGAGACTCCAGATTACACCATTTGGGCTCAATGGCAGAAGTACAATCAACCACCGCTGTCCAAACATGCTTCATACTGGCGAGACCACCTACTGAATTTACCCAGCCCTCCATTTGAATCGTTTGGGCAGGGTTCGAGAACCTATGCCGGAAACTCACATTCTGTTGTACTGAGAACCTCACCAAGCTTCTTTGGATCTATGGAAGTCTACGTCGCTCTCGTTGCAAAAGCGATTGTAAATGTTCAAGGGACCCGAGATGTCATCGTTGGCATACCGCATGTTGATCGCACTGAGCCTGGCACCGAAAACCTTCTGGGCTGCTTCCTTGACCGCCTACCAGTGCGCGTCGATGAAAGTTTGAACGAATTTGAAAGTCTGATAAAAACGGTGCGAACATCGATACAAAATGCGCTGATGCACTCAATTCCTCTCAAAGACATTCGGAAGATTGCTGGAGAAGACGAAATCTTCCAAGTGATGGTTGTGTATAACAGAAAAGAAGACTCCAACGCAAACAGTCTTTCACTCCCTGGTGTCGAGGTGGAATCTGGAGTGTTGAGAACAACAGGTGCAAAGTTCCCACTCCTGATTGAATTCACCGAAGAGAAACAACATACGACGTGCGACTTTGAATATATGGAAGATATGGTTTCTTCGGAAACTGTTGCTATCATCGCGCAGACGATGATGAAGATTTTGTCAGCTGTATAATGGTTTTCAACTCGTTTATCATTACATAGGAAGCTCTGAAAGATGTGAGGCTGATTTATTTTCTGCCTTTTCTGTTTGCAGGACCACCGTACGGACCACCAAACGCACCGATTTAAATGATTTAGATTAAGTGGGAGAGAAAATTCATGTAATTCAAGTGTTTCAATTTTCAAGTTCATTCTAAGCCGGCGCAGTCATTGTTCGTCCACGTTGAATGTCTGATGGAAATCCTGAATCCCAAGACCAATTCTCCTGAGACCTTCTTCCAACTGATCACTGGGAACTGCATAGCATATGCGGAACCAACCAGGCTCCTGGAAATGATAACTTGACCCAGATGACACAGATACACCTCTGGACTTCAAACATCTCAGCAGCTTCGTCTCTGCATCGAAGTTGCTGACTCTGCCAAGCCTAGTAAATACAAACATACCAAAGGCTACTGGTATATACTCCATTCCAGCATTCTCCAGGAAGGATTGAATCACTTTATAGGACCCCATCAGACTTTGAGCCCCATGGCTTATTGCTGTGTCGATGTTGGTGGGCTGCAGTATTGTCTTTGATGCCAGCACCGTCGACAGCGAGGACACTTGACTGTGAACGCTTAAAGCGCTACTAAGGCGCACAGCATCGTTGAATTGGGTAATCAACGCCCCCTGCATTCAATCTCTTTTTAGTAATGTCCATGGATTCTTGCTTCGCTGGTATCATCAAAGAGCCACTCACGATGCGAATTCCATTGCAGCCGAAATCCTTGCTGAGGCTGTATATGACATGAACCTGAGCCCTCGTTTCACGATCCCCCCATTGAAGTGCTGATACAAATGGATGGAAACCGCCCGGAAATGGCTGGTGCGCGGAGAGAGCATATACTTCGTCTGAAATATAGTGCAGCTCATGGCGCTTGCAAAACTCGAGCAAAGCGTCTAAAGTCTCCCGTGGGTAACACTGACCTAACGGGTTGTGGGGGTTGCAGACTAGCACTGCCTTGATAGGAGTTAAAGATCTTTCCAGCGCCGATTCATAATGTGAGATGCTATTCGTGCTGAAGAAATCGATCAGCGGTACATGGACGGGCACAACTGTGGCATGAGCGTGAACACTGATGGAAATGTCGAGACCGGCCCAGTATGGTGTCGCAATGAGAATTCCATCTCCGGGATCGCAGATCTGCTCAATAAGTGCTGTCAAAGCGAAGCTTCCCCCTGCCGCTAACACAACATGAGAGTTTTCAACGGGGATTGATGGTTGAAAGCGGTTATTAATCAAGTCTGCGATGAGTTGTCGCGTAGTGGGACAACCACCAATGCCAGATGAGTAGGCCAAATCCTGACGACAGGCGTGAGTATGCTAAAGATGGGGACTTTGCGGGGATTTGGAAATCATACATGCTCGGACAGGCCACTGAATACCCCTTCGAGGCCTTGCAGCAACTTTGTCTTGGTCGCCCAGTTTTCCGCCGTACTGAGGTCAATTGTAGTCGTGTCCCCGCTGAGAACAGCATCATGCTGACCCATGAGACTAGGTATGATGGTAGCATTTCGCTTTTTGCACCGATCGGAAATTCTTGACGCCATTTTCCTGCTAGTCAACGTCGTCAAAGACTTCTGTGTATCTTCACAGGATTGAAGTACAGTACACGATTCAAATTCCCACTATGTGGATCACTATTCAGGGCTACTGGCTTTAACAGCTTAAGGGCCGAATACTCAGCCGTCTCGGAAAGGTCTACATACCAAGATAGACATACTTGCTACTTAGTCGCCGAGCCACTCCGGCTTACCCTATGCCCCACCCAGAGATCTCTAGCCCTGATATAATACCCCGAAGAGATTATATGAAGTTGCTGGATCTTCATTGTGTATAAGTTACCTTTGATTGTTGTCCCAAGGGTAATAGAAGCCTTTTCAAAATCGGTAACTTTAGAGCAATATTATGGCTCTCACTCTATTAAACTTCTTGTGAGTGACTGTCTTAACTAGCAACAGCAATGAGGTGAATAGAACTGACCTATATTAGGGCCTGGCCTTTTAAGTGGAAATGGACACTAGAAGACGTGAAGGTGTGTGGGTACCTTTGTGAAGAAAATGGCCCAAGTTATTAACTATCCCGACAGGGTACAACTGAGGCAGACACCATCAAACATTCCGCCGACGACATATCATTATGGGTAGAGGATGTCGGCTCCATGCTCCAGAGCATGTTGGTTATGGCGGGCTATCCTTCGGACTCCGAGTCGCTTCACACAAAATTCTTTCGCGAGTCAGTGGCACGATCATTGGGTTCCCATCCTAAAGGATGTGGCCCCCCCGACAGCTGGAAGAGCTTCATGACGGATGATCATACCCCAGTCGAGCTAAGCTGGTGCTGGTCAACATCGCTAGCAACCCCTACGGTTCGATATTCGGTAGAACCAATTGGCCCGTCTGCTGGGCAGGAAGTCGATCCCATCAATACAGCCGCCAGTCAGCGCCTACTTGGAGATGCTCTCTGTTTGACCAATGACTTAGATTTATATCTCCACCGCCATCTCCAAAGTCTGCTGCTGTCAAGAAATGAACCGGCCAGAAGGGAACATCAAAAATCGCTTCCTCCACAATCACAAAGCTTCATGGCTTTTGATCTACTGGAAAAGTCTATTGTTGTCAAACAATACTACTTGCCTGGGTGGAAAGCTTTAGAAGAAGAGAAGACAAAGATTTCTGTCATTCGAGACGCTTTTCAAAAGCTCCCTGCACCCGCAAAGGGGTTGATGGATTCAATTGATATCTTCAACGAATTTCTCGACTCATTCCCGGATAACTTGCGACCAGTCGCCGAAATCGTGGCCATCGATTGTTTGGATCCATCCCAGTCTCGATTGAAAATATACGTTCGATCACCTTTCACGACCTTGAAAAGTGTAATTGAGATGTTAAGTTTAGGTGGAAGGGCCCCTAAAACACAAGATGAGCTGGACTCTCTACGGGAGCTTTGGTGCTCGGTTTTTGATCTAAACCCCGCGGAGTATCTTGACGATCAGCCTCTTAGTGAAAAGGAGCATCGCACCGGCGGTATTCTATACTACTTTGAGCTAAAACGGGGTGCGAAGATTCCTAAGTCGAAGGTATATCTGCCCGTTCGACACTATGCAAAAAATGACGAGCAGATTGCCCGAGGACTTTCAGAATACCTTGCCCGCCGTGGGAGGACACTGGCGGCAGGCTCTTATTATGATGGGGTTAAAAAGCTATGGTAAGTTGAGCGAATGATGGGATTGCGTTTGAGATCAAGTCACTGATTAGTTGTCTCACAGTAAACACCGCGATCTTGCCGATGGACTAGGATTTCATACCTACATTTGCTGGGCTTCCGATCAAGGACAATGGAATGTGACTGCCTACTTTAATCCGGAAATTTACCATCAATCCCGGGTTGAAAATGTCAAGACTGACCCGGGAAGCAAGTATTGAATTACTAGGGAAATTGTCGTTGATTAGCTGTGAAGACTTTCCATCCCTGTGTATCTAGTCGAATGGAAGATACTCTAAAAGTTATCTAATGTATGTGTGCTGTATATTATAACTCAAGCCTAAAGTATAAATATCCTAGATCTTTAGAATTTCTTTTCGAGGGCTTCTCATTGTCTTTTGGGCAACTGAATTGTGTTTTGTAGACCGAGATCCAGACGTCAACATGAGTACCTTTGTAGCAACAATGTAGGATAAATCCAACGGCTCTAGAAATAGTATATCAGCACCAAATTGAGCTCAGGGCTTTATCCTCTTGGTAATGAAAATAAAAACTCTATTTCTTTTTACTGGCCGATCGTTGATCTCGGGGTCATTTATTCCCCGGCAAAGTGATGCTTGTAATCAACGATTCGGAGAATATTCGTTGAAGTGTGATTTTAATGGAGTACCTTACGGACTAGACACATAGCATTTGGAGATCTTTCCTAAGCGAAACTTATCCCATGGGCATCGCGCATGGCCAATTGTATCGCAACACTTTACACGAATTACCTTCTCAACGTGGCGGATCTTTCGCTATGGAATTCTTCAACCCTCGAATTATTTACCTTTTCCTCGGTATAGTAATAATATGGAAGCTTTATCAAAGGAAAGATCATGTTATTGATAGAATTGTGAGAGTTCCGCCCTAAGGCATAATGACCGATTTGTGTAACTCACCTTTTTGGAATCCCAGATATCGACGGTGTTGTATCCCATTCGAAATGAGCATGGGCAGAATATTAAAGGCCCAAGATGGAAATATATTGATGGGCAATGTCTCGATAAATTTCTCCGAGGACGTGAAGCCAGCCTAGAATGGCGTCAATATGGGCCAGTCTATCGCATCTGGTCGGGCGTTCTCCCCGAAGTGCAAGTGTTTCAGCGATGATATAGAGAGATGACAGAATATTGACCTTTCACAGTGTAATCACGAGACCCGACGACGTCAAGATCTTTCACAGTGACTCTCCTTCCCACCTGAAATCCAAGTCCAGCAACGGCGGATGGTTATTCCATGAGCTTCTTGGTGATTGTATGGGCCTCATCAACGGGGACCGTTGGGAACAAGTTCGGGCTCAGTTTAAGCACCATTTCATTCATCGCTCCGTGTCATCAATATCTAGCCATATTGAGCTCGCGGCAACTAGGTACTTGCAGAGCCTTGAGAGACAGGATGCTGAGTCCTTCGAGGTACACGCCGCCAGTGATTTCTCGCGCTTTCCGTTCATGACTACCGCCGAATATCTCTATGGGCCTTTGACTGAAAATGAAAAGGAAGAGCTGTGGAATCTGGGTCAACAAAGCCTTGCACTTATGGGGAATGTTCTTTCCGGTGGAGTGTATCGCTTCGGATTGTGTCAGTGGATGAGGCCACACTCATTCCGACGATTGAGGAGTTTCCAAACCCAATGGCAAAATTTCAACCAGAGACTTGTAAATTCAAGAACTCTCTCAAATAACCACCAGCTACCTATCGTTGAGGCTTGGATGGCGATGGAAAAGGGCTGTATTTCGATGAATGAGGTGAGATGACCGATCTTCTGACTTCCTTCACGGACTCTGACTGGATCACAGATACTTCAAACTCTTAGTGAAATGCTTTTCGCCAACTTGGACGTGTCCACACACGTTCTTAGCTGGCTTATCATCTTCTTAGCTGAAGATATTGACATACAGCAACAAGTTCGGGCGGAAATTTCGGCAAATCCCGGGTCTCTCGCAGAGCTCTGTGGTAGGAAAGATACGCTGTTGCAATTTTGCTTTTTGGAATCAGCCAGGCTTCGCCCTTTTACAAGTGAGGTGTTCCTTCAAGAACCAGACGATACTTGCTGACTGATTGTGACCAGTATTCACGATCCCCGAAAGCTCACCACGAACACAAATCATTGGTGGCTATATTATTCCACCACACGTCAGTTCTATCCAGATCACACCTAAAGAAGAAGGCTAATTTTGACATTAGACGAGCGTTGTTGTGGATACACTTGCAATCAACTACAACCAGAAATTTTGGGGAAACGATCATTCTCGCTTCAATCCACATCGGTTTCAGCATCTGTCTTCAACGGAGGTGAGAAGTGATAGATGAGCTTACTTTGTAATTTTGCTAATCATACTGCCTAGCTCCGTTACAACCTCTTCACATTTGGATTTGGAACAAGGAAGTGCCTTGGACAACACTTTGCTGAGGCTATGTTGAAACATTTCGTCTACCACTTACTAAATCGGTACGAGATTGAGTTACCAAGGCTAGATGCCAGGAAGACATGGAGCTCGCAACCCATTCAGGATACATGGGTTCCTATTGCCAATGCGCGTGTTATCCTAAAGCCAAGAAAATGAAGCAATGAGAAAATGGTAAATTCACATACAAAGCTTTCTGTAAACTCATTACTATAGTTGATGCCTCAGGTAGTGACACCTCAGTAACGTACATCCTCAGTAATTGCCTTCTCAAAGTAACACCGTTTTGATCGCACTGGATCTTCTCTAGAACGGCAAGTCCAGGACGTTTGTGTCGTTCACCGCTTCCAGGTAGTTATTCTGCCTCTTTCCCCACCAAATTTCACCTTCGCCTTCTGTTGTATGCTCTGTTCTTCATACCATTAATACATTGATTCTGTTATCTTCTAACGTTCGACCTTTCTCTGTCTTACTTTTTCTATTCCTTTTTTTAGGAAAAAAAGGAGAAACCGATCGAACGATCAACCTCGACCTACACCACTGTAATCGTCTTTACCAATCGACCATACAGTTCTTTAATCTTTTTTAAAGCACAAAGGAACCATAACAACACACTTCCAAATTTATTTGATTCTTAGTTCTTCCTGTCCGTTTCCATCTATTCCTTCGACTCTCTTTTATTTGCAGTTCAATTTGATACTCCAGTAGTGTATATATCGTTACTTTTCCATCCTGACATATACCAGATTCACATCATATGATATATCTAGTAATTATATATTTGTTACTTCCCACAGTATGCATATATATCTTGACATTCAAATGTACTATGATATATTTCTTTATACATACTAATCTATGTACAATTCCATCCAAAAAAAGTGAATACCCTCCCTTGGTCTAGGGAGCAGATGCCTCTGCCCGTCTTCAGCGGACGTTGAAGTATAGTCGATTTTACTATTTTGATGGCGAAGAAATGTCAAATGTGGATAGATGAAAAGTATGAAGGGGAACGAAGGGAAATGAAGAACGTCGAATGAAGAATGTCGATGGTTTAAATGTTTGAGGGCCACGTAGACAAACCATCTGAAGTTGGTATTCATAAGTCAGAGAGAGTACGGAGTAGGGTGAGAGAAGTCGATGGTCCGGATCAGGATGCATCCTCATTGAAGCCCCGGAAGCATTTGCTCGGCAGATCAACCTGGCCAAAAGTGCCGCGTTCATGCCTCAGGCCTTGAGAATATGCAAACCCTGCAAAGCTCTCGGGAGCACATGGCCAGTGACGACACATCACGTGATCCCAACAGAAAAACAAATTTCCTCTGCCTTTTAGTCTGCTTTTTGGTCTTGGTCTGCCTTTTGGTTCTGTCCCTATGCAGTAGGCCCAAGACTACAGAGTAATGAAAGGAAAGATATTCTCAATCGCTTGGCCTTGTCAATGAAATTTCAATACGGAGTACTAATTGAACACAGCAATAGAGCCCTAATCTTTGCGATCCAGCTCCATGAGCTCTTCATCGGATAATCCAATCCGAGAGATTCTATTCAAAGCCTCCTTGACCGGCGGTAGCTCTCCCATCCTCTCACTCCACTCCTTCAATTTTGGCCATTGGCAAAAGTCCAGCTTGGCGGACGTTGCGATAGTTTCATTCGCCAGAGGCAAGATGGCAAAGTCCGCAATGGTCGGTCTGCCGGGCAAAGCTATGTAATGCTGGCCAGGTTCATTTAGCCGAGTTTCCAGGAACTGATACTCGGTGCAAATGTATTTCAGCAACACCGAAAGAGATTCGCCAATATCCACTGGCTTCGGTGTTTTCATCAAAAGCCAAATCTTGCCGGTTGCACCCAACCCCGCAGTGTAGGACATCAACCAGTTCATGACAATGGTTCGTTCACAGAGGTCTTTGCCATTGTAAAGCCCCTCTTTGTCGTACTTCTCCGCCAGGTAAGTTAGACATGCAGAGCTATCGAAAATGTTCAGCCGCTGCGGCTTGCCGTTGACCTGGTAAATTTCGACGTCCTCCATGGCGGGGACCATCTTGTAGGGGTTGATCAAGTGAAACCATGTTTCGTTGCTGGTAGAATTGATGATATGAAGTTCGTGAGGAATTTTCAGGGCCTCAATGAGCATCAGCGGCTTCACGGCGTTGGCCGTGGATGTGGGACTCGCTGTAGGCAGTTAGTAGCCGTAAAAGTGGGAAGACCAAGGCTCATCCCGATCATAAATGAAGGGGTACAAGATCAATCGACTGGATTTCGCCATGGATTTTGACCGTAGTGTTGAACTTTCTTACATTTTTTGACGTACAAGACTAGCTTGTCATCGGGGATTTGAGGCCGCACGGATAGATCTTCGCTTGGCTGGGACATCACGTATGGCAATCAATTGCAATTGGACAAGCGAAGAGAAAATTAAGAAACGATTGAATGATTACAGCTCATTCTGGGCCTTTCATGTGTCGTGTGCTTCTTATACTAGCCTCGGCGAGTATGTTTTTCTCTACATTCGATTGAGTGATAGTCGCCGAAATGTGTCTGACTTTCAAACCATATGAAAGTTCCTAAAAAGCAGCATCTGTCTTCAATGTCGATCTCTTTTCTCGCTCTATTATAGAATTCACTCTCGCCATTTCATCTTCTTCTTTTATAGCACAAAATGACGCAATCCAACCCTCCAGACACCTATCGGGGTCCCCGCCACCAGGGTGAGTACGATCGCCTACGAACTCAACATGAGCTCGTGAAGACTGCAATGAATGGAAAGCTTCTGTATTGCCCCGTGGATATCAAGCAGCCAAACCTTCGTATCCTGGACTCCGCCACCGCCGAGGGCACATGGTTGATGGATCTGGCTCAATCGGTCCCCCCGTCGACATCACTTTATGGCACCGACATCGCCCCCCAGCACTTCCTCCCGGAGAATTTGCGGCCTTCGAATTTACATCTTTCACTTCACTCAATATTCGACCCTTGGCCTGCCGACTTTCAAAACAGCTTTGATGTGGTCCATCAGCGCTTTGTTCTTACAGTCGCCTCCGATCAAACTGCCCAGGAGGCTGTCAAAATGTTGTTCTCGTGTGTCAAGCCCGGCGGTTGGATTGAGTTGCATGAAGGGAACATGCTTTCAATTAAGGAAGGGCCTGAGCATGCAGCATTCGTCAAGTTCCGTGACATCATGGTCAATGCTTGGGCGGCCATAGGGAACCAGCCGAGCCCGGGATCGTTCCTAGTACAATGGTTACAGGGTGCTGGTGCTGTAGACATCCAAGAAAGTGTTCAGGTCATCAAGGTTGGAGCCGCATCAGAGGATCCAGAGCAAGGCGAGAGGGCTGTGGTTGTTTTGCTTCATCTGCTTGATGGAATGAAAAGAATGCTAAGTGGTATGTTGATCACAAGCCCATGACCTGTCCAGATATTTAGGTACTAACCCAAATTTCATTATAATAGGGAAGCCGGGACAGCCTAAGAGCGAGGAATTTGATACCCTTCGCAATGAATTGGAGATCGAGCTTCGCAATGTTGGAAATGTCTACCACTATCATCTCGCTTGGGCGAAGAAAGCTTGAGGATTCTTGGAAAGTGAAGACTTCGGTCCTGACAATCGAAGAATCTTGCCTAAGTTCCAAGGGATTATAACTTCGCAACATGGCGTTTTAAACAAACGCCTACAAATTGATACTATTGGGTTAACACCGGGGATTTGCCTTCCTTCATTCGGGCTGAAAGACCCCCATTGTCCCTTTGTGGCTTTCAAGCCTTTGTTACTTTGCCAATTTACCGCCCGGGTTGGATATCATCAGCAATTTATTTTAAACTTCTGTTGCACAATAGCGTAATCCCGTAGACCTCTACCTACATGTGAAGCCCCACCATAATATATTTAAATGATCGTACATACACGGAACATTGGAAATGGGTATGGATGCAGAGGAACTAGTGGCTCGAGAAAATATCGAGAGATAGCCGCTTGAGATGCACGAAAGAGTTTTCAACTAATATGATAAAGGGCTAACATAAAAAAGAAAGAAAAAGGAACAGATATAAATCACTTGGCTGACAAGTAGGATTGTAAAAATTAAGATATCTGGTGTGGTGATCCAGCGGGTCATGGGATTCACTGAGCCTTCATTATTTGTTGCTCCTCATCTGGGTTCGATTCTTCCATAAGGCTTTCTGGCTGTTGATCTGTTTTTTGAGGCCAGTAAGCCACGGCTATGGCGAGTGCTGCACCTCCAAGGACCCCGGTAAGAAGCCAAAATGCGTTTTGATATCCAGTCATGGATACCATCATGATGCCATTAATGGGCTTGCGATTTCCATTCATGAAGGCATTGGCACCGGCGAGAAGAACGCTGGCCCCGACTTGGTAAGCAGTGTTGAACAGTGCGCTAGCCATAGCATGGTTGGATGCTTCGACCTGACGAAGCAGAATGCTTTGGGCCGGAACCATCGCAACAGGGCTGCCACAGACAAAGATGATTGCAGCCACAATGGAGTACCAGTATCCCTCACCATGGCCAGTCCCCCCTGCAAGGTCAGGAGTTGCAAATACCCAAGCTACAGCACCGGCCGCTGTAATAGCAAGCCCAATTACCAGAGTCATCTTCTCCCCGGTAAGCTTGATCATGGGTGCCGATAGAGCTCCGCCGACAATGGCTGAGAATGCACCAGGCTATTCAATGATGCGTGTCAGCCAGGCACCAATCAAAATGGAAGCTTCTGCATCAATAATATTTGACTTGGAGCAGGGTGGAGTTGGAGTGAGGCCGAGAGACTTACCAAAAAATAAACCGCAGTGAGAACCGGTGTGTAGCCTAGTAGATTGACACAGAGTTGTGTGGTAATGAAGAACCACGAACTAAAACTGCCACCAAAAGCAAAGATAGCGACGAGCATGAGGAAGAAAGGGAGACTTTTCCAAACATATGGTGGAATGCATGGGTTGGCAACTTTCATCTCAATAAAGACGAAGGCACCTAATAGGCACGCTCCTAGAATAATGCCTACAAGGACAGGTGCTGAAGACCACCCGCTTCTTGGGCTATCATTCAGACCATACACTAGTAGAGCGATTCCAATCACAAAGACTACACTCCCCACTATGTCGATTGGAGTGTCGTTTGTCTTGGCAAAGGGTGGTAAAAATAGGCAAGCTAGCACAAGTGCCAGACCGGTGAGAATTAGACACAGCCAGAATATAGATCTCCAGCCGGCGTCAGACGCTAAAGATCTTTCAGTCAGAAAATTCAATTGCTGGCGAGGAAGGACTGTAAGACATACAGGAGAGAAGGGAACCAACAACAGTGCCAATGGTAGATCCTAATGGGGCGCAAGCTGTGTAGATTGCTAGTGCTTTGTTTCGAGCATCGCCATCGGGAAAGGTTCTACTCAGGATAGCAAGTCCGTTCGGTGCCTTGAGAAAAGTCGAAATACTTATTAGATCAGTGCAACGGAGCATTTCAACGTGCTCGACAACTCACAGTCAATCCCGCCCCAATCCCTGAAATTGCCCGACCGGCAAGAAGAGCCGCCTTGTTTGGCGCCGCTGTGTTGATGATATTGGACACCGTAAGAATTGCCGCTCCGGAAATGAATGTCTTCTCCAGACCGAATCTCTGGCCCAACTGCCCCCCGATGAGGAGGAAAGCGGCGAAGGTAATGTTGTAAACAATAAGCACCCAGTTGATATCCTCGCTAGTAAAACCTAACGCCTTTTCAATGTCTGGGAGACCAAAGAGGACGGCCGAGAGCTGAAAAAGATCCAAAAAGTTGACGAGGGTTGTTGTCATGAGAATGAGACGAAGATTGGTCTTAGGGCCCAACCGTTCACCTAGGTGGTACGGTGGCACCCATTTTTTCAGTGTCATCGTGAGGGGCCCTGATATTCTCCCACTGGACAGACGAAAATCAGATGAATTTGGAAAAGGACGGATGAAGAATTTTGGTCTAGCATTGACAATTCCTTCGGCCTCACCATATAACACGAGTGAGTACCTTGGGAAGCAGTCTAGTCTTCGACCCCGGAGACTTTGTCGGAGACTATTGACAAATATTTCCTTGATCCTTTGAAATATATTCCTCCCTCTGGTTTCTTTCATTTGCCTCTCTTGCCGATCAATAATCTCTTTCATGCACTTGTTGCTCTCGGACCTTGGGATCATTCGACGCTTGACTAATTATAGCTAGTCTCCACGAGCATGTCTATGGAGGAGGCCATCGATATCCTGAATTCAGTCCCACTGATTGGTGTGTGCCCTGCTAGTGGGCTATGTTCGAGACCTCAAGGCTGACAATTCACCTAGATGGACACAACGACTGGCCACACCTCATTCGCGGGTTTTACGACAATCAACTGGATAGTCGGTTGGATCCGGAAAAGGACCTAGTGGGACATGTTGATATCAAGCGACTCAGAGAAGGGAAATCTGGTGGTGCCTTCTGGAGTGTTTACATAGACTGGTAGCCTGGATACCGCGACCTACAATATTGTCTTCAGCTGATGATATTCTTAGCCCAGACTCAGACGACTTCACCGACGATGCGGCACACCTAGAGACGTTGAGAGATACACTGCAGCAAATCGATCTAGTGCATCGACTGGTGGATTTGTATTCAGACCACATGGGTCTCGTTGATCGTGCCTCCGATATCATGCGCTTGTTCACTGATGGGAAATTTGCTAGCCTAATCGGCGTCGAAGGGCTCCATCAGATTGCAAACAGCTCCAGTGTTCTTCGGTTGTATCATAAACTTGGAGTCCGATATGTCACATTAGCGCACAATAAGAATAATCTGTACGCAGATAGCGCAGTGAGTGATAACCAATTAACGAACAAGTGACAGGAGCTAAGATGACTAGACCGCAATATCTCCAGCACATGACGGACTATCTTCCAAGGGCGAATTGATAGTCAGGGAAATGAACAGAATTGGAATGTGAGAATGATCTTGTCAACATATATTCTCCCGCAAAAATCACAAAGCTAACCAGAATTAGGATCATTGACCTCTCCCATACAAGCGAATCTGTGATGCACCAAGTGTTGGATATTTCTAAAGCGCCTGTGATTTTCTCTCACTCGTCAACGTAAGTTATTCCAAGCGATTTCTCAGCCAGACTGCTGCAAAAGAAAGTCCCGTCTGAACCTTAAGCGTACAGAGCCTCCATTGTTCCACATCCTCGCAATGTCCCCGACGCTATTCTCGAGAAACTGAAAGCCAACAAGGGAGTGATTATGATCACATTTATTCCCTCTCTTGCTCACATCGATCCCACCCAAGGGAACATGGACCATGTCATTGATCACATTATGCATGTTGGACAAAAGATTGGCTACGATCATGTTGGGCTTGGATCTGACTATGACGGTATGTTTAATGCTGTAAAAGGAATTGAGAATGTCGCTCGATATCCTCATTTGGTTCGCAGAATGCTGGAGCATGGGATTGCCCGATCGGATGTGGAAAAGATCATAGGGCTTAATGTGATCCGTGTATTGAACGATGTGGAAGTGCAATCAGCTTCAAGCAAATCTCAAGTACCAATCATGCAGGATGGAGTGAAGCAACTGTGGAACGAGAAATTCCGAGGTGTTGTGAGAGGGTCTTATCCTGATGCAGAGATGGATTTGCCTAGAGCCCTCATACCGGAGAAAAGCAAGTGAATTTTGAATCTTGATCTTCTCTCAAAATCTATTCCTTATTTCACTGGTCTATTTCCTATTCAATCCATCACCCCTGCCCCAAATGACGCTGTGGACGTAGTCATGGTAATACCACATAGTCCATAAGAGAAAATCGAAGATGACTAGGAACCACGGTGGAACGTTCCCTTCGCCATCTTTGAATTTGTAAACTCCTTTTTCAATCCAGTATGCGACCCGTTGCCAGAATCCGTCAAATAGCCATTTACCAACCTTGAATCGACAGCTTTGCCCCGGAATGAATGTTTGCTGTGACAAAAGTCTCTTCTGGTAAGACTCCGGGAGAGAATGTTCACTGGCACCTCGGATCAACAGATCCTGTGAATTCAAGTCAGACCAGAATCATGCAACGAGGTGATGGGATAAATTTACCATATATCTTCTTGATGGAAGCCTCTCGTAGCTTCTTGAGATACTGTGTCTCCCCACCAATAAATGAACACTCACTTCTGACCCATCATTTTGCAACGTGGCTGTAAAAACCTCGGCTTTGTAGGCGATTCCACCTCTGTACGGTGTTAGATATACTTCAGCTAGTCATGCGCCTAGAATTCTAGAATTTGCATACCCTTCGCTGATGATCACCTTTCTCATATCGTCGGGAGACAATAGGTACGCAATGCCATATACCGGAATATCTTGTTCCTCAGCTGGGCGCAAGCCCCCCATGGCAGGATCGGTGTATGGAACGCCCATTATGTTGAAGCAGAGGGTTTGCGTTTTAACCAGAGCAACTTCGGATCTGAGAGGCTGGATTTTTCTTCGCGTGATGAAGACATCCGAAAGCATGTTGGAGCCATAGGCAAAATACCACATTGGGTTATTTGACATTTCACTAGAAGCTGGAATGCGACAAGTAGAATCCAATTCGCTCAAGTGCAGCGAAATAATCTTCCAGGGCGCATCAAGCGATGCGAAAGCACATGGGCTTAGCTTTTATTGTCTCCATATTCTTCACTTTTGGTACATGGAAGGACTGCCGATAAGCGAACCCAATCAACTCTTTCAGGAACTTAACTCTTTGACTGGACGGGGTAGCCTCCACGTTTTGACCCGTTTTTGACTCGCGCACGTGTGTTTCATTTGGTGTGTTTCATTTGACGTTGCTATACTTCATGGTGGCTGCGGGCTATTAGGACCTTGGGGACGGCCTAAATCGAATGAAGTCCAGTAACTGAGAACTGTTAGGACCTTGGAGACGTTCAAAGTCGAATAAAGTCCGGTGGCTGCGGGATGTTGGGACCTTGGAGACGGCCCAAGGCAGATACAGCCCATAAAGCCCAGTGGCTAGTACCTTGGGAGCTGGTCCACTCTTCTACTCCTCATTAAAATTCACATACTATACCTGCATTATCTATCCATTTGTGGGCATTGGCTTATTTACTTGAACATCAGCCAAGCCAGTGCCCGGGTTGGTACACTCTCACCGTAAAAGCGAATTATCCGACTCCCACATAACTAGTGGTTTGAAGAATGCACAAAAGTCAATAAGAATGACTCGTAAATATAAGAATTGGGTTGGTTCCATCTCCCTAGTGCCCTGCCCGAGCATCCATAGATAGATATCGATTAGCTTTGGGCCCCATTTTTTCGGCTATGAAACAAGTAAAATGAGATTGAATGGGTCGAAAACAATTTAGGGAGTCATCCCTAAGCCAAATTAGGCAATTCGTGGACGCCAGAAGGCGGGAGTACCGTTGTAGAGTTGCCGATAGTTTTGTGAAGAAAACGTCAGACTTATAAGCCTCCACCAGCCACCATCGCGTCTTATTACATCAAATTTCGCAATAGGTAAAGGCTACTGGTTCTCTCGATTGTTTGCTCTGCGTTAAATCTGATGTCTCAAACTGCTGTTCTGGTTGGCTGTGAAGGTACAACTCCCCCAATCAAGCCAAATGACAAGATACGGAAATCCAAGCAATTAGAAAAGAACCCTTCAAGGCTTCGCAGTGCTTGTGATGGATGCCATGCAGCCAAAGTACGCTGCACGGGGGATTTGCCCTGCGCACGGTGTTCTGGAGAGTAAGTCTCTCTTCTGGAAATATCCGATATGTTGCTAATTCTCCACTCCCCGCCCTCAACAGCAACCTGGAGTGTCACTATAGTTTGAAAGCAAAGATAGGAAAGCCAAGAGGCAGCATGAATAAAAAGACAATCGAGCGTCTACGGCAGGGGAAACAGTCAATGGAGAAGCATGACCTAACGATCCATACACCGCCACCAACCAGCGACAGCACCCCGGCGATCCCACCACTACCTTCCTGTGACGAAGACTCGGCATTTAGTCCACTACCATCGCCATCCAATGTAGGAATTACACTTGACAGCCAAGATTCATCCACTTTCAATCCAGATTGTCTTCCATTTCAAGAATTGATTTCGCCCGAAAGTGGCCTTGGCTGCATGGAGGATTGGCTACCCACTATCCCAGGTGAATCCATTGATAATGTACAGTGATCTGTTCTTGCATTTCATTTTCCCCAGTAGACTAATATTACTGGGTGTCGATAGCATTGTTTCCAACTACCCGGTGGTTTGACTGGTATTACCCCCCTCTGATGGCCAAGCATCCCGCCAAATACACGGCATTGACAGACAATAGGAACACCGCGTGAGAAAGAAATATCAAACAGATCGGGAAAAATCTTGAACTGCAGCAACCTTGGCTACGAAGAGGCAGTGTTCCACAACGCACAAGCAACTGAAATGGGATTTCCCTTCCATTTCCCATACTCCCCAAAGTCGTTGAGATGCAACACTATCAATGATAGGCCCAACCATGCATTTCTTTCCGATCATTCTGGATCATGTCTACTGGGGAATTCATGTCATCATTCCCGATCCGGCGGTTGCTTTGTAACACTAAGTAATCACCTTTGCACACTCCAAGCCATTCCTCAAACGTCAGAACAGGCACGGGCCATCGATATGCTCCTGACACAGTCGCAGCGGATTATCCCATCCATGCGCTCTCTCTTCAATTGTCACCATTGCATGCGAGATCTACAAGCGCTTCTCCTGGTCAATATGGTCCTGGCACGTTTGTTGGAATGGACTCGTGTTTCTATCTGCGCGTTTGGAAAAGGATGCATATCGGCAGAGGTTCGCTTAGGCCAGTACCAAATATCAGGGGATTTTGGAACAAGGGTTGCAAGAATGTTGATACAGACACATCTTGCAGACCTGAAGGCCACAATTATTATATTTGCTGGTATGGTTAGCCAGGCTGGTCACGTCAAGGCCGATGGTGCCTACTTGAGTCAAAAGGCAAAGGAACTTGAAACAAATCTTGCCAATGTTGTGGTGTGACCTCATAGGTAGGTAGACAGTCGGGAGCTCTCCTATCCCTAATAAAACTCTCTCCCTCCTTTGGTCCTACCCACGAGCTCATGAGCCCTTGCTGTTTGAAGGTCCATGTACAATATTAGGAAAAACTCTTTATTCTGATCAATTTTCACATTTCCCACACTCGTGCAGAGAGAGTTGGGCTTCGGACCCAAGGGCTTAGTCTTTCCGATTAGACCAAACAACCTGAAGAATAATCAGATTAACAATTGATTTAGTTAATTGCAAAAATATTGACCTTTGATTGTTACGAAAAGATTAGAATGTTCCGAAATCGCAAGCTGAAGACACAGAAACGACGGTGGTGAGAGTATGACGTCAATAAATTGACTTGCACACGACTAACTTATATTCGTGATATCAATTGAAATAAGGTCACCCATTGAGGCCTGGCCACCTCAAAACGTTGGATCGATCCGTGGACCATGGGTACTGAGCGGCCGCTTCGGCCAACGCACATCCCAGCGTGAAGAGGAAGGACTTCGCAAGTCTAAATGACATCATCTACAACAACACGCCTTGGACCATCAAGGGCTTTTAAACCGTTGGTTCCTGGTGCAACATGTTTGTTCTGTCATTCATGCAAATCCAATGCAACCATTCCTAACATCGCCATGAACCAACTATCAGAGAAACGGGATCCAAACAATCTGGACGCCTGGATCCTTGGCAGTGGGATCGCCTCTCTAACAGCGGCAGTACATCTCATTCAAGAGGCTAGTGTTCCACCCTCACGGATCCATATCCTCGAACGATTGGAGTTTGCTGGAGGGGACTCTGTCACCTCTGGCGATTCAGTCAATGGTTATCACTACCAGGCTGGTTCCATGCCATCCCTCAATGATAGTTGCATGGAGCGGCTTTTTTCGCTGGTACCCTCGAAGACGGACCCAAATAAGACCGTCCTAGACGAAATGATTGAATTCAACCACTCACAACCACCTGGCAAAACCCCCCATACAAGATTTCTCGTCCGAAAACCTTCCTGCATGGAACAGCAAAACGGTAAAAACATTGGGCTGGGACTAAGAGACCACATGGATCTGGTCACGCTGGGTTTCAAATCGGAGAAGACTCTATCGCGATCTCGTATTAGTGATTATTTCCACAAAGGCTTTTTCGAGAGCAAGTACTGGCTGTTATTAGCGACAACGTATGTATCGTTGATAGATGGAAGAATCTACCAATCACTAAACTGACGATGTCCCTGATAATAGGTTCGGTTTCCAGCCATGGCACAGCCTCGTGGAATTCCGTCGATATGTACAGGGGTTCATGAAAGATACCCACAAATTAGATCATCCGCGCCAGCTCGACGTCGGTCGCTACAACCCCCACGAGGCTATTATCGAACCAGTAGCTCATTTCCTGGTGTCTCGTGGCGTTGACTTTCGTTTTCGCACGACTGTGACGGATATCGGTATCGAGCCATCACACCAACAGGTGTCCACCATCTGCGCTGTCAAGGACAATGAAACGGAGAGAAGAATTGAAGTCGGGCAGCAGGATATTGTCGTCGTATCGGCAGGCTCAGTGATGTCTGGCGCAACTACCGGGACGAACAACTCCCCACCATCACTTGAGTTGATAGAGATCGATCAGGACCTGGACGAGAACTGGCTCTTGTGGCTAGGGCTGTCGACAAAAGATTCGAAATTTGGCAACGCATATAACTTTTGCACTCGTATGTGTGAATCCCGACAAGAGTCATTCACTGTGACGCTCAAAAATACGCGATTCTTTGAGAGTTTCATCCAGCTGACAGGTGACGAGCCGGGCACTGGGACATTTGTCACTCTTCAAAACAGCAACTGGTTGCTAAACCTCTACCTGCCGCAACAGCCCATGTTTTCTGACCAGCCGGTCGACGTGCAGGTGTTCTGGGGCTACGCGGCATTCCCAGAGAAAGAAGGGGACCATGTCAGGAAGCCAATGCTCAAGTGCTCCGGCAAGGAAATTATGACTGAGATTTTGCACCACCTCCAATTCCCGAGCGAGATACTCCAGGACTCGATCACCATCCCCTGTGTGATGCCTCGTAAGTCGGCGCCTCTGTTGCGGCGGGACAATTACGACAGGCCTGCAGTCATTCCAGACGGAATGAAGAATATGGCCATGATCGGACAGTTCGTCGACATTCCTGATGAGATGTCTGTTAGTATGGGCTATTGCGTACGCGGAGCACAGATAGCGATAAATTATCTCATGGGTCTAGAACGTAGATAGGCCCAAGAAACGCTCTCTGAAAATATTGCTGGAATCGTGCCCTGGAAGTGCTCGCTCTGCGAAGTTGTATTGTTAACGGCAAGGGTCAAATGCTGATCCCCTGCCTGGAATTTCAGTTTAAAGAAATGGATTTCCATAGTTGGCATGTGACCCAAAGTTGCTCTTGGAGTCGGGGGAAGTCAAGCCAAGGAACAATGCGCTTGGGATAGAGTCGGTTAATAGGGGCAGACGCGTCGCCCTGGGCCGTGAGGGTCGCATACGTCTCAACTCGAACCGCTTGAGATAAAGAGTGGTGGCGGCGATCGAGAAGGCGAAATAGTGTGTTGCGCTGCTCTGGCTCTTCTCGCGCCCTCCGTTCTTATTCTCGTGCCTGTCTCTCTTCCTCAAGCTGACGCCATAGCTCGACGATTGTTTCCTCCATCGCTTGTCGGGAGTAGTATCAGCAGATAAACGAGCGACACAAAATTGATCCTAACATCCAAGGGGTCTTCCACCGCCTGCGACGGAAAACGAACTGTCACGGGACAATGCAGCTAGCCCGATGCGACCGGTGCCCCAGTACCCCCAGGCAACAACTCGTTGGCCTTTTGTGTCGACTCGAGGACATTCTACGGATCAATGATTATCCTATATGATACATGTTTTACCATGACTTTGTCGCGCCGATCGCCCCGTCCCTCATTATAAAAGCCTTTGATGCTCCTGACTCCAAAATCCGACATCCCTTCAAAAAAAATCGATTCTTTACCAAATGACCACCGAAAATACCTGTTCAGCGTGTAGCTGGTCCCAAACACGTCAAGACGCATGTCGTTACCAGAGTCACGTGAACCTCTTCTACGGGGTCAGCAATCGAGGGGTATGGTCTTTGGGCTCCAACTTGATCCTGAAAGAACGGTCTACCGAGCCACCAAACTTTGAGGTCCCCAATATCACGTTTTTGGCGTCAAGGACCTCAATTCCTATACCCCAAATTGTTGAAGAATGGCAAGAAGACGACGGGGCATGTTTTCTCCTTACTAGACGGATTCGAGGTCAACCATTGAGTGAAATTTGGCCAAAGATGACATCGGACGATAAAGAGCGCGTCGCAAAACAGACCGCTGATTACTTGATGCAGCTTCGTGAGCTTCGCTCAGACCGACTAGAAAGCATCGGCGGACAGCCAATCTACTCAGCCTTTCTTTTTCCGACTGGCTATGGCATTGGGCACGGGCCGTTTTCATCTGACGATGAATTATGGGCTGAGATGTCGTTGGCCTTGGCTCAAGTGCCGGAGCAAGTTCGTTCGAAATTGCGTCAGCGGATGCCAGCTGCGGCTCCCTATACCTTTACTCACAGCGACCTGACCAACGTCAATATCATTGTCGAGAATGGTAACCTGGCAGGGATTCTGGACTGGGAATCTTCGGCCTTTTTCCCTGTTTGGTGGGAATTCACTTGTGCGGGAATTGGCCTGGGGCAAGATGATAAAGAATGGAAAGACTTGCTTCGCACACATCTACCGGATCATACTGAGGCCCGCAATTTTTGGTTGGATTTCTTTGCATTGCGCAACTATCCTAAGTTGAATGAGAGAGGATTGGCGCTGCTAAAGGAATGTGGTTTGGGCTTGCTAGAGAAGGAAGCATAAGAATCGAAGAGAGCCATCGCTTTGTTCCACAAATTGTTCATAGTAACAGTAATCATTGGCATTGTCTTGGGCAAAACGGAGACTTTAAGATATCTTCTTTCTTTACAGTTGCTTCATATGAGCCTGCTCATAAGTGATGGCAGCCATCTAGTATTTGTGAGATTGGAATTGGAATTTGAAGCTCGTCCGCGATATTATTGAGACGTACCATATCTAAAATAATCTCATACATCGATCCAGGGAGTTCGGTACCGCAGAACTCGCAGTTATTTCTCCCGGTCACGTTGCCTTTTTTGCAATTTTGGTTTGGACAATTCATATTCGATGGGCTTTTCGGCGGGACGTTTTGTAGCGAGAGGATGTGTAGCGAGACCGATGACAGTACTAATAGAAATGTGTTACCTGTCAAGGAATTGTCAACGACTTTATAGCTTTTTCACTTTTCCAACCGGTAGGTGTCACTAGAGATTTGATGCTGACATTTCCACTTTGGGTATCTCCGCACTCTGCTCCGCATTTTCTTGCACGGAGTGGCAACCGTTATCTACATTGATTCCATCTGCCCAAAAGCAAGCAGCTGCGCATCGAGATAATGTGAATCAACAATACCGCGACCTAGTGAAATCAATGGCAGATGAGGGAGTCAATATTGCCCTAGCAGACATGGACCCTCCCGCCCCAGACCCCGTTCATGGCTGGATGGTCTGGCCGGATGATTTCACAGCTGAAAATGGCGGCGTGGATGATACGCACCCAAATGACTATGGATATGCAAAGATGGCCGCAATTTGGTATGATGCAATTGACAAGGCATACAGTAATGATCTCATTCACGATGCCGCAGTCACTAGTGCTTCAGCAGGCGGAGGCTCTTGCGAAAAATCATTTGGCGATGGCATCTACGCCGGTGGTCTTACGCAGCGGGCAAGTGGTGAAGATGACGGGATTTACCACCATGCGAGCGAAAGCAAAGGTGTTCAAACGTCGTTTTGGGATCCAAAAGATGATTTGATTGAGAAGATTTTCTTTGCTCGTCTTATCACCCCTGCTAAAGATGAGCTTGTGATCTATGAAAAGCAGTTCGATAAAACAGTCTATCATCTTTATTCAAATCTCGGAGAAGGAAATGATCCTTTGTTCTAACTACAGAAAGAGCATAACTTCGATGTGTATGACGACTGCATCCCGAGGGGCGTTCAATTTATTGATATTAACGGTAAGATTCAATGAAAATTCAACATGAAAGCCGAAATCTAATCTTGACAGGTGACGGGCTGGACGACTTTGTCTGTATTGCTAAGGACGGAACAGCCTATGCTAGTGTAAATAATGGTGATGGCACGAAGTGGAAAGCGCCAACATTTACACGCATTGGAAAATGGAAAGATAGTGAAGGTGATCAAGCGCATATACGACTAGGTGATATCGACGGAGATAGAAGAGCAGATTATTGTATTATCGCTGATAACGGTGATATCGAATGCTGGCGAAACGGATGGATTGGTGCGTTGCATCGAGAGTTTCCCGGTCGATACCTATGGTGCTGATATATCTGAACAGATGACGTTCTAAAGTATTGGTAACCACTTGGTAAGAGATTTACGGGCAAGGGCATGGGCGATATCGCGGGTATGCGATTTGAGGATATCAATGGCGACGTGAGTAAAGGGTTTTCATTCTTAATATGTCGGTACTAATATTTGTCTGGTCTAGGGCTGTGATGATTGGCTCTGGGTTGACGAAGATGGTACAACCACTACCTACACGAATTCCCGAAGCTGTATCAAGGGCAAGGAGGGGGATGGGCTAAACATAGTTTGGCGTCAAGGATTTCAGAAAGGCAAGAGCTCTGGGCCCACTCATCTAGGAATGTCATCCTTTGGCAAGTCTAGTCTACGCAGCCACATTTTCTTTACTCGAATATATGGGGAGCCACAGGATTTTGGACTTCTCGGTCGTCAGGACTATATTTTCGTTGAGAGAAAAGAGGCAGACGATGGAGATAGATACGATTACTATTTCTATATATTCAAGAACGTCGGATCCGGAGCCACGAAAATCAAGTGTGAGTATCCTTGTTTCTGGCTTTGCTTCTACCTTGTGCTTCTTAGTAACTAAGGGGTAAAAGATATAGCAGATAGAAATCGGTACTGCAATATGATGGGCCACGTCGACGGTCGTATGGACTATGTTTGGATCCTTTCTAAAGGTGATATGCGTATCTACCCCAACAAAGGAATGAATGACTTTTCAGACTCTTTATCGAGCTATTGGGGGGCCAATTATGTCATTTTTGATCCTGCAAAACTTTCCATCGGTATGGACTTAGATCGTCGGGACCTTCATCTTGTCGACTGGGATGGAGATGGTGTATATGATATTATTTGGACAGACCCTAAAAATAACAATAAGCCTTATCTGTGGCGGAATAACATTAAGAAAACCGGTGATTTTAACTGGAAATATGACGCAAATCCCGCCCCAGACCTTAAATGCTTAGAGAAAGGGGGAGTTGGGTTTTTCGACCGGCCAGTTTATCTAGCAGATATTACGGGCAGTAGTATGTCTAACTACCTCTGTGTTGAGAAAGATGGTCGTGTTTCAGGATATGTTCATAACGAAGATGGATCATGGGAGTATATAGACCAGATTAAATTTATAGAAGGTAAAGACTAGGCTAATCTACACTGGGCTGACGTGAACGGGGATGGCCGCGCTGATATGATCCATACCAATAAGTTCAATGGCGACGGCACGGTTTGGTATAATTGTGGAAGAAAAGACATTGGTGGCTCACGTTTCTGGTGACTGAACGTTGGAGTAAAATTTCAAGGAGCAGTGGAAGGATCTTACACTTACTTTCCTGATTTGAACGGTGATGGACTTGCTGATATGCACGCCATCATACACTCCACAAAAAACACAGCGAAAACCTGGTACAATGGCTGCACTGGAAAGAATCATGTCGGTGATAATGGCCCTATTGAAGATCCAGATCTACCTATCCTACCTCAAGAAGACGGCGTGATTATTCATTATAAAGATGGCTCCTGCTCGAGAAAGTAAGTGCAGGAATTGTATAAGGAATTCACCAAAGCCTGCTCGATGGCACGAGAGGCACAGTTGCACATTTAAAAAGATAGATATTTCAACACTTTCTTCGCTGCTGAAAACCGTGATCCTTCATATGCTTCTGAGGTATATGGAAGGATTTCAGAAATGATTGGGGGAAATGGGGGGTACCATTTCGAAGTTACCTGTAATAATAAGAGGGAGTCCTGTCAGCCCAGCTAAAAGGGTGACATGAATATCGCGGCGATGAGTACCAAAGGTATTATGAATATCTGTGATGCTTTCCTTAATCACAAATATATCAAAAGTACTGAAGAGAGAGAGAAGGAGTGTGGTTCAATGTCTGTTCGAGAGGCCTATTACTCTAGGGCGGCCGTTCTTTTGCACGAGAGTTCATATACCAGCTATGCCATGACTGGGCAAATTCGGGGTAGGTAACCGTAAGTTCAACGTTTATATGGATCTACCTTCACTATTCTATATACACTGGTGACTGACGGATTTATTAAAAGGTCTCTTAATTACGTATATGGCTATGAGGCCAGTCGTGATCTAGCACTGGGCAAACACGACCGATTATATTGGCTATACGGGCAAAGAGATACACTTAGGGGAAAAGCACTGTGTGGCCCGGAGATTGGTGATAACTTTCATTCTGAATCAGTATGTAACGCAAAGCTTTCAAAAAATAATGCGGATTCCTACGCCTTGGTTGCCGCAGGTCTCTACTTTAGCGCCCATTGCCATAAAACTATTCCAACTCCACCTCTATCGACTAATGCAGCTGGTTCTGACAGCTGTCCCAACTATGATTATATCCAAATTGATAAGTCTCCTATTTTGGGCATTAATCGCTATGCCTATTTTGGAGACTCGTATGCTGCAGGAATGGGGACGGGCACTACGACTTCTGGCACGGATAAATAAGGTCGTTGCTGTATTGGAAGCAATAACTACGGCAAGCTAATTGATACTTGGCTTGACGCCGAGAAGCTGACTTACGAAAGTCATGCGTGCTCAGGAGATACTACGGTCGGACTTAATGGTCAAATTGACACTTGGCTTCACAATGATCCCAAGTCCACCAACATCGGCACCCTGACGATGGGAGGAAACGATGTGGGATTTAGCGACTTAGTCAGGAACTATATCATTACATCGGGGTGGTATGACATCGACACTTATCGAAAGAGTTGCTTGGAGGCCGAATCGAAGGCACTGGATTACATTTATAATTCCGGCGATGGTAGGCTTGGAGCAAAGTTAAGGAGCGCGTACAAGCGTATAGTCAATGGTGCAAATGATAATTTCCATCTTCACGTTCCGGGCTATGTGGGTTTCTTCAATCACGATACCGAAGATTGCGACCATACAACCTTCTACTATTAGGGATCTGTATGGGAGGAGAAGCAAAACCCCGATAAATACGTTTATTTGACTCGTGATTTGCGCAAAGAACTTAACAACCTAGTTGGCGCGCTGAATGATCTTATCTCAGCTACCATCGCGGCCGCCAACAACGAGCTTAGTTCTAAACGGATCCACTATATTGACATGCAGTCTCACTTTGATAGTCATCGATGGTGCGAAGCAGATGTTCGTGAACCTGATCCCAACGGAAATAGTTTCTTTTTTCTTACTGGCTGGAATGACCAAGGTACAAATGATATTACTATGGCGGGCCTGGTATGACTTCCCAAAACATTGGTCCCTGATCTGCATTCTAGGAAAATGGACTAACGATTTACTATAGAGTGTGACCGAGGCGGATGAACTTTAAGCACTCGTAGATCAGGGATCTATTAAGCTGCCAGATGCTGCGACTTGCCGCGAGTCCCTCGGCACTGACCTAGATCCATATGCTAAAGCGATGTGTCATGTTGCAGAGACAGTAGCACACGACCCGAATGGCCCCGAGACCCAGCGACTAGATCGTGCAAATAAGGCCTTGGCAAATGGAGATCTCAGTGTCCAGGAAATCTCCTGGTATCTTCCTACAAGAACAATCAAGATGTTCCACCCACAAACTCCTGGTATGGCTATCTATCGAGATGCAGTGATTGATTCGATGAAGGCCTCTGGGCAATTTCCTTGGTGGTGAGGTTGAGGCGTGGCCAGGCGGAAGGTGATAAAATTTGTGACATTTACATGCTATACGCCTTGACGGCACATATTTCTTTTGTTCTGTTTTATAGCATTTGAAAATACTAGTATAAATTTTTCTTTTTCAATATCTGGGCCTCCGAAGTAAGAGGCGGTCTTGATTATATTGTAAGATACTAGGTTGCAATTGAGGTTCTTTGGCTCCCTGCAGACATGCCCCGATGGTAAATAAGCACCGCAACTCTTAGGTTAGGCAAGCTAAAGATAAACACTCCACTCTTACCAGCCTTGATAGTCGTGGTCTTCCGATGTCGGAAGTGGACTGCTCACCGGACGAAACTGCTACAATTAACATCTACCGAGGAAACATATCCTTTTTCCTATGAGGAAAACCGCCTTCTGATGATCAGAAGTGGACGCCAAACTTAGAAGCGGTACGGACGGGCCGACTCGAGGCCACTTAACCATGCTGACGAACACAGATCATCCCCTTTTTCCGATATTAGCCTGATCTATATGGAGTTTTACTGATCCTGAAGTCGATGCGATTCTAATAGAACCGAGGACATTCGACCATAATGCATGAGCGCCAGGACTACAGCTCTTTGCCGTCTCTTCGTCCCTAGTTTTGGCCACCCGAACATGTGAGTCATGTATTATCTCACCTATCTACAAGCTAATGTACTTGTGACGGTTCATGGATGCTCGGGTTTTACCACTACGCTATCTGGCCAAAAAGGCACAATGTTTGGTCAGCGACCAAACACCCAAGCTACTATATATGCTCGATCTCTGACAGTACTCAGGGAGGTTCCTGGGAGCGCATATTGCTCACCTGGGAGTGCATATCGCCATCCTGGGAGTGCATATCGCCATCCTGGGATGAGCAAGTTTCTACGTAATCATGTCGAACTCGTAGATCGGTCTTACCGCTTTTTTATCAATTTTGTCCACAGGCTAACCATAGAAATTGCAATCCCATTCTAAACATATGACTGAGGATAAATGTTGGTTTCGATAGTGCTATGAGGTTCGATTTGGGCAGCATTTTCTTCAGGAAGCTATCTTATGCTGACATACCATCCTTAAGAAGTTTGGAGGAATCGCAGATTACGTGAGATAACTAGAGATTAAATACTTAGCAGATCACTCAGGAGCTGTAATATAATGTAAAGTAAAACATACATGGTACGTTACATTACACTCAATAATTACTGACTAATTTTCCTTGCTCAACTGTGGCGGTGCGGATTATGTAACTGTAATGTAACTAACGTAATTCACATACGAGCCGCCACCACATACAACCCGCCACCCCATTCAATAATCTAGTTTTTAAATACATTTATCTCAACCATAACGCCATTAAATTAATTAAACTAAATTCAACTATCTTTCTGGACACCTGTTAATTTTATGCCCGGTTCTTCCATACCCACTATACCTTGCTACAGCCCGTGGACGTGGTTCTAACCCTAATTAAGGGCTTCCGCGCGGGGGGTATAGAGGTACTTCTAATGCTTCTACTACCTTAGTAATCAATTAAGAAGCTTCTTAAACTGAGAGGCCTTCTTCAGCGGGTATCTGCCTTCGGGATCTAGTACGCTTTTGCTTCTGCTTCTCATTTGCAGCGCGTAATTCGCTTACTTCTTTCTCGAGAAATGCAGCGGATTGCATAGTGATTTGGTATACCTTTAAAACCTGGTTGATAGCGGAATCAAGCGGGCTCGGGGGACTTCTTGATTGTATACAAAGTAGTGCTTTAATTGATGCAGCTTACTTTTATAATTAGATATAGTTCGAAGGTATTTTTAGGTCCTAATCACTCCCCTAGCTAGGGGGGGGGGGGGGGGGGTAGGTATTCGAAGCCAGATATTAAGCTTTAAAATCACTCAGTCGGGTATAAAGGGTACTAAACCAGCTACTCTAAAGCTATTTTTAATAGTCTCCGATTTAAAAGCTTCAATTTGTGTAAAGGGGTACGCTTTAAGGAAATTAAGTTTATCGATATAATTTATCCTAACCCATATTTTCGATTCAACTAACCGGCTATACGCGCGTTTTAATATAGTAAAACAGCCGATATTAAGAGGTTGTAAAAGATGAGATAAATGCGCTGGTATATAGATTAGAATCACCTTATTTTTCTCACAAATTTTGTTAAATTTAGGTATTAAATGACTTCTATGGCTATTAAGTATTAAAAGCCGATACCCCCCCTTTATATATAAAGAAGTAGTAGGAATAAAGAGCTTCTCTAACTAGTAAAGTCTAATTTCATTAGAGGTCCAGCCGTTAGGACTAACTTCGAAATACTAATTACTTAGAAGGCTATTAAACCAGGATTCGATAAAGACTTTACCTTTAAAAATCATATATAGTAGAAGGTGTGACGAGCCAGGTCTTGCAAAGATGAAAGAGTGCATCAATTCAAAATAACTAAGATAAGTGTGAGACCCCTAGGTATAGAATGCCTAAGGGAATGCTGTATGTAATGGAGGATCGGGAAATAGAGATAGTGGTATACGCAGTGGTATATTGGAACTAATTGTTGAATAAAAGAGAGGCTGTTTTGTATGGTACGAGCAGTAGGATACTGGACCAAAGGGTAAAATGAGTGTAATTGTGAAAAGGAGGGTTCTCCTCTGAGATCTATCTTGGTATATGTTTATATAATCGCTATACGTGGCTGCTGACTACTAATATACTACTAGATATAAGGAACGTACGGAAGTACGTTATTTCTGGTCGATATACCCCCCTAGAAGCTATATTATAGCTCCTAAATTCGTCTCGTCTATTATCAAGCTATCTATCTATCTACCAGATCCTAGATATCTACTAGTCCTAAGGACTGAATAAACTTTTCGTAGGATTATACTAGTAGTAACTTAGTGAGCCTATCTACCTATATATTAGTAGTAGCTACCTACTGGATTAAGATATAGCTAGTATTAACCTCTTAATATAGCTAATAGTTATAGATATCGATATAGTAAAGCTTAGTTTATAATTATAGTTATTCGTAGGTAAGTAAATCAACTATCTATTAGTTATTATAATTAATAATAAGATTGGTCTAGTAGTTAAGATTAACTATATAGAGTAGCTATTCCTACTATATTACTAACTTTCTAGCCTTAGAGATAGTAAGAAGCTTAGCCTTAGTTATTAATATTATAACTATATATTACTTACTAGCCTTCTAATCTATTACTATACCGAATAGTTTATAAAGGAAGCCTTCTAAGCTTTTCTAATTAGAATAGTCGCCGAATAATATATTACTAGAGAAGTAAAGTACTAGTTATTTATATAATAGGTAGTACTTAAGAGCTAGATATTATATATTATATAGATATTAGATTAAGCGATTAACTATCTTATAATACTTAGGTCCTAGGTTAATTAGGAATTTAGTAAGATAATTTACTACCTTTACTATATTAGGATAAGTTATAACTATTAGATAAAGGGCTAAGCTAAGCTTTTATTAATACTTATAAATCTACTCCTTTATTATAATCCCTAAGAACTTAGTTATTTTATTTATAGGAAGTGGTATTTTATACTTATAACTACTAGTAAGTCTATACTTAGTTACTATTAATAAGATATAAGAATCCTAGTATAACTATAGTTTATAATTTATAGTATCTTAGAGAATATAGATTCTAAGAAACTAGCTTACTTTCCCTATCTTATAAAGCTCCTAGTACTATTTTAGTTCTTCTTTAAGTTAAAGTACTTCTTAGAGCTAAGATTAGTAGTAAATAATAATAATATTATTAATATAGAAGAAGATAATTATTCTATTATAGATAAAGAGATAAGGATCTTCTAGAATAAAGATAAATCCTAGCTTTTTAAGTACCTAGGTTACTTCCTTCTACTATAGTCTAGGTAACTTTCTAAGTCTATAGAGTACTTTATAAAGCTTCTATAATATACTACTACTTCGAAATCCTTCTAGTATTTAGGTATAGACCATATTATTAAGATTGCTATTTAGGAATATATTTATAGTATCTATCTAGATTATACTAAGATTAAATACTATAATAAGTATAAAGACTACTTATACTATATAGGCCGCTAGTATAGCTATATGCTTTTTATTAGAATTAATATTCTATAAGTTACTATAAATATAGATCCTTACTTTTAGTTTTATAAGAAAGCTGTTACTATTATATTTATATATAAAGACCTAGGTTAATAGTAGTACCTAGATTACCTAGTCTCTAGGTTAAGGTTTAACTTTAAAGGTTCTATATTACTTAATTAATTAGATTTCTAGTCTTACTATAGTAAGGAAGCCTTTATAAAATAGGTAGTTAAGTATATCCTTCTATATCTATGGTTTAGGAGGGAGGTTATCTTAGTAGTACTATGGTTCTAGGTATCCTAAGGATAGTATAGTTATAAATATAGTGAGTATTACTATATAGTTATCTTTAGTATTATATATAAGATAACTTACTATATTATAATCTTTATATAGTTTCTACTTATATTTTCTATAAACGATATTTAATAGGGTGATATCTCTATAAATAGTTCTTCTATACTATTATTATAAGAAGCTTCCTAGTATTTATAGAAGGGGAGATAATTATTATTAGGAGACTACTTACTATATAGCTACTTACTATATAATTATATACTAGTCTTAGC